GTCCCAGGTGTTGCATGAGGAGCTGTTTGCACATACTGAGGGTGCCCAATCCACTACATTATGCTGATGATGATTCCTATGGTGTCCCATGTGAACCTGTGCAGTTACCATTGTACCCTAAACATCAACAGTGTACAGGGAAAACCCAGGCTGTCCTGCAATCTCTTTCATTGCCTGGAGGCCTATATGTGGCTCTGCTACATGTCTGAATCTCCCACAGCTAAAGAGGACATCACCAACAGCACTGATGCTTTCCTTGGAATGTCAGAGGCCCATGGCTGCCTAGCTGTGGGAGTATGGGCTTCTCAACAAAGTTTTTCACTGTATCCTACCTGCCTGTATGCTGTGGTGGCAGAACCTGGGGAAAAGCGGGGTGCAGCCAGGCCAGGCAAGGAGATGGGGCCAAGGAGATGGGCTGGGTGCCCAGGTGGGGAGGTCCCTACCCCCAGTGCTAGGCTTACCATAGCAGCAGGGCTGGCATGCCTAGTGGCTCCAGTCAGTCACCATGGTGAGGTCATGGTGTGCAGCTTCCAACAGACTTGTCAGGTGATGGGCATAGCATATATGTTCCTGGGCCAGGCCCCCCCTGGGGAGGATCTGGTGATGCTGGCAACCAGAGGTGGTATGGCTAGCCATGTCTCATGCCTAGGACTGAGATTGCAATGCTGTCTGGGCATCTGCTTACCTGGGCTCCCTGAGGTTCAGGTGGAGGCTCTAGCCAGGGAGCTCAGCAGGACAGGCTGCTGGTGCCCTGAGGGTCCCTCCCCAATGACACATGAACATGGGTGCCAGGCCACAGTGAAGGCTTGGGCAGGCTGACTGTGCTGCTGTACACAGCATGGCTATGGCCTGGGTTCCAGGGAGCAAGAATGGCATCCAGTTGCCACATAAAGGGCATGGACTTGTGAGCGCTTCCTGACCAATGATTGTGATTGGTGATGGTGACCCACTGTGCCCACAGGGCCTTGATCTTTATGCAGCACTGCTCTGCCAACAGATCATGCCCATGTTCCTGCATCCAACCCCATTGCCCCTCTTAGACATGGACCTCAGAGGGCCCACACCTCACGGACTGCTGCTGCACCTCTACCTTACCCTACAGTGCCATAAGGTCACCAGTCTCCTCCTGTGACTAGTTGGGGCTCCGGATGGCAGTGTATGGCATCAGTGAATATGCCATCGGAGCTCCTGTACTTGCTCTCCAGGCCTCTGTGTGACTGTACCACCTGTGCTGCTGGGCCTGGGGAGCTACCTGCAGTGCCTAGTGCAGGGTTACAGCATGGGACTAGGAGCCATGCAGTGAAGTAATGCCCTGCAGTACTTGCAGGGTCTGGGCAGGCTGCTGGGGGTTAGCTGTGGGCAGCTGGTGCTGCCCTCTGTGGCCAGGAGATGCCTGCAGGTGGACCTAGGTTCTGGCAGCCCTGGCAGGAGCTTGAAGAAGTCTTCAAGTTTGGAAGGCATGGTCCTGAAAGCCACAGAGCACTATGGTGTCAGGCAATGGTGCCATGGTGCATGCAGGCTGACACAGCTGGCCCACACCCTGTCCAGGGGCAGCAGAAGCCAACTGTCCCCTCAGACTCTGTGCTGTTATGCCCTAGGGCTCAAAATGCCTGCAGGCTCTTAAAGGGCCCAGGTCTGGGGCAGCCATAGAGGCAGCCCAGACCTCGAGCAGGAGAGAGTCCCAACCCCAGGGCCCTGGGGCTGAGTTTAGTCTGAAACCCTAGTGGCAGGGCTGACTGGAAGCAAATCTTCTCCCAGTTGGCATCTACACATGCATTACTGTGCAGTAAGTACTTACAAGTAAATTTGCTACTTGCACTTACAGGTAGCAATTTTTATCATAAGCAGTGAAGTTTACTGCATGCTAAGTATGTGCAGGTGTAGATGTGCATGATTACTGTACAGAAAACTACTCTACTGCACAGTAAAGCATCTTACGTAGACCAACCCATACAGAGGTATAGTCATGATGGAAAGACCTAAGACGTCCTGTTATGTCACTGAAGGGGATCTATGAAAATTCCTATTGGTTCATTGACACTAGGCACAATTACACAAGGCACTTACTGTGTGGTAGCCTAATGAAACTGTGCAGTAGTGTGCTGGTAAACAAACAAACAAAAAAACCCCATGCTAATAAGCTACTTAAAAGTGATATTAGGCTACTGTACAGTAACCATGAAAAACCGTACATCGGTGCTACTGTGCAGTAACAGTGGTTACTGCACATTTAGTCAGTACTCCATTAAGCAAGTACCAAACTAAATGTGCAGTAACTACTGTGCATTAATGAATGTGTAGACACACCCACTGACTACTGGCAATCCAAGAAAAATGGGCAGTAGTCTTGCCAGTCACAAATTGATCTGGAAACCTTACTGACTCATAACAAGATAACACTATCATTTTAAAGACATTGACATTACAGTGTCTAAGCTCATACATTTTAGGGCCAGTGTTGGTGTGTGCAGCTCCACACAATTGTGGTGACACAGCATCTGGTCCAGGAGACAGCAAGCAGGAAGCATGCACAGAATGACTCATCACAATGCTGTGAGGTGCAATACCATATGCATATTTCCAGGCAAAACATGTTAAAATAAGAGAAAAGCCCAAGACTGGAAATCCCCTTGAGATGCTGGGGTAGATCTTTTCTACCTGGCCAAAATGGACTCTATTCGTAGCCTTACAACTGAACCTAGCTGAGACATTTCCTTTCCTTTTCATCTAACTCATAGAAAGGGAAGGGAATCACCTCATGACCAGGCCCCAAAGGGAGCAAACATTCTCTCTCAGAAACTAATTGGCCATCTGGGCATCAGAATAAAAAGATCAAGCAGGTGATATAGAAGAGATGTAAATACACCAGATTCATTTGTGCTGGATGTCTCCCAGCCATAAGGTACAAGATGCTCTTTTTTTCAGGAAAGCAACAGTCAGTAACAGTACTTTAAAAAAAGTAGATATGAAAATGTTGTGCACTCTCTCTCTCTCTCTCTCTTTGTTTCTCTCTTATTCTTACAGAAGAGAAAAATGAAGTAGGAAGCATTAACAGTTCATATTTTCTGGGATTTTACAGGGCTGGTGAGTTTCTCATATTGCATTTCTATGTAATTTGTGATATGCATTTTGAAAACACACTGTCCATGCCTCTCAGCTTTTGCCCACTGCATGAAGGGAAAAGAAGTGAAAACCCAGTGCACTCTCTCTTTTGGAGCTGTCACTAATTTCACCAGTCCACCCTCTTTCTGGCAGCATCCCATTCTGGCACTGCATATTTTTTCCTTCTTGGCTGCCCAGTGGACTAGTTTCAAGAGAAGGGCACTTGGTTCAAATCCTACCTACATAACGCAGATAGGTTAGAAGGTATGCCCTCTGGGAGCCTAGCCTCCACCCACTAGACCAGTGTCCTAATGATTTGGCTCTTGCGTTACTAGGTGGGTGAATCCTCAACCTGCGGTAAGAAATCATTTCCTTGATGTCAGTTTCTCTCTGATTCATAGACTCATAGATTGTGAGGCTGGAAGGGAGCTTGGAAGATCATCGTGTCCAGCCCCCTGCACAAAGCTGGAAAGACAACTGGGGATCAGGTGACCCCAGCAAGGTGACTGTTTAGTCTCCCCTGGAAGATTTCCAGGGTAGGTGATTGCACCACCTGTGGAGGGAGCTTCTTCCACAGCCTGGACACCCTGATTATGCTGTTAGCAATTGCTATTCAGTGATGTGCCTATCTGGGCTATCCTATCTTGCCTGCAAAGGGAATTTCAAATATGTCACTTCAATAGCCTGCTTTGGACAAGTAAGCAACTCATAGATAAGATGAAATGGAATTTGATCTCCAGACTGAGAATTTGGTGGTCACTTGTACTGCAAAGGCTGTAATACATCTTCTCCAGGTAGTCTAAGGGGAAACTAAGTGCTTCAAGAGGCAGCTCTGCTAGGAAATGTTCTTGAGGGAAGGCAGAAATCACTGGAACCTGTGTCAATATAAGAAGAGTTTGTAAACTGGACGAAGGTTGTTTTTTTGAGTGCTCCTTAAATATGGTGAACAGAAACACTTCACTCATTTGTAATGCCCATGTTGATGAAATAGTGGCCACTAAACCTCTAAGCTGTGACTTCTATTATATGTTGAAGCAGCCACTGATTAGATACTATCAAGATGTGTTCTGTGAAAAAAAAACAAACTCCAAGTATACCAGGGTAGGATATTGTCATCATAATGAATATCACAATAATTTGGCTTTAGGGGGTTTTTTTAGAGATACATTGCTTCTAGCCTCAAAAATAAACAAAAAAGAAAATACAATCCTCTTTCCTTCTCTCCAACCTGCACTCTCTTCCCCTCCCCCCCCCCACTTCCCGTTTCATACTTACCCCCCCCCCCCACTTCCAGTTACAGAGTTATCTTATTGAGAAGACATTTAATTTCCATAAAATATTTCTCCTGGCATCATCAGACAGGAAGTAAGAAATTGATTCTGTTCTAAACAAATGTAAGGACTACAGAAAAGACCAACAAACAAACCCCCCTCCCCCCCAAATTTGATAAAGCTCTTTTGTTTTATTTTTTCTCTTTGTGTTCTATTTTTTTTTTCTTGGTAGCAAGAGCCTCGTCAAGACAAGGAAGGGGTAAAAAGCAAGGTTTGAGACAGGTTGGTTTTTGTTTGGCTTGGTTTTTTCTTTGTTTTGTTGTAGAGAGCCTCACCATCAAAAATAAATTTTGAGTTTAAAGGTATTGGGAAACACAGAGGTTCAGACAGAATTACAAAGTTCTCTATATAGAGATCTCCTTCCCCAAAATGAAGTAGCACACTTCCTTAGTGGTAAATCTTTAGTTTATTTATTGATTTCTTTTTCTAGGCCAGAGGTTGGTGAATAAATGACCATGGGGAATGAAACAGCTATCAGCTATTTTGTTCTGTCCAGCGTTTCCAGTGACCCACAGCTCCAGCCTTTCCTTTTTGTGGTGTTTCTACTCATATACCTACTAACTGTGCTAGGGAATGGGGTGATCATGGTGGTGATAAGAGCTGATATTCGCCTTCACACCCCAATGTATTTTTTCCTATTCCATTTATCCTTATTGGACATTTGCTATTCTTCTATCATTGTCCCAAAGATTCTGCAAAATTTGATGGCAGAAAAGAAAATCATTTCTCTCCATGACTGCCTTGCCCAGATGACCTTAATTATTCTGGTGGCCATTACAGAACTTTTCATGCTCTCAGCAATGGCCTATGATCGCTATGCTGCCATCTGTGACCCACTGCATTATGTGGGGACCATAAATAAGCAAGTACGCATAAGGCTGGTGGGTGGTGCATGGCTGATTGGCACAATATATGCACTGACCAACACTTTTCCTGTGTTACATTTACATTTCTGTGGCCCCAAGGAACTGAACCACTTCAGTTGTGAGGTCCCATCTCTACTAGAAAGGTCCTGCACAGACACCTCCATTAATAGCATGATATTTCTCGTTTCAACTATGTTTGTGTTTCTCACGTCATTCCCCATCACCCTGGTCTCTTACATCTGCATCATCTCCGCCATCCTCAGGATACGCTCTGCTGAGGGTAGGTGGAAAGCATTCTCTACCTGCAGCTCCCACCTCACTGTGGTTGTTCTGTATAATGGGTCTGGTTTGTTTCGGTATCTGAGACCCAAATCAATCTCTTCAGTGGTTCTTGACACATTCGTCTCCATGCAGTATGGTATCATAACTCCCATGTTAAATCCTCTCATCTACAGCCTGAGAAACAAGGATGTAAAGGCAGCTCTGGGGAATATACTGGGGAAAACACAAAGCACATGAATGTTTGTCAACATTTGAAAAGCATGTTGTAGTTTAAGGGGAATCAAGTGTTAAATTAGTTTACTGTCCTGTCACTGGTTGGCCTGGGCATTTAGCCTGTAAACAATTAAGTTCTCCCTTAACCAAAAGAATATTTGGGCCATCACGGCCATCATCAGTTCAGCCTTTTCAAAAGATGCACTGTAGGATCAGAGTTACATGAAAGTTGCTGAAGTAGTCTGTACCAAGAGTGTATGAAATAGTTCACCCTTATTTTCCAGCTTTTTTTCTGGGGTGCAAGGAGGAGTCTACAGTGTTGTAGTTAGGCCTTGACCTGAGAAAGACTGATTCCAATGAATTTGTTGAATATGCTTGTTCGGCATACTAACAAGACAGGCAGAGAGCTTCCCCCTGAAATAATCCATACTCTAGGTCCTAGGTCCCTAAACAATGATGTGGGAAATGTGGGTTTGAATCTCTGCTCCAACATGGACAGAGAAGGTGTGGTTCTGCCCGAGGGACTCCCCTTTTCTGTGACGAGTGTTCTAGCTCCTAAACTATTGGTATGGAAGGGGCATAACCCTCACTTCCTCCTTTGATTTTCATGAAAAAATTGACATAGGTCCAGGAGGGGTTGACAGTGGTGAATCACATGTTATAGAAGGTACCCCTTGGTGTTATTCTTAAACAATAGCATTTTAAAACTCAGCTTGCAAATAAAATTGAGGGAAAAGAAACCTTCATTAAATGTGGTCCCATTGCTTGAAATAATACCTCTCATTCAGTCTCTAATGTTTACCTCTACCCTGACTTCAGTTTGACGTTGATCTGAACATGACCGATTGCCTCTCTCTTTGAGAATTCATTGGCTTAAGCTTTGATAATCTTTTCTAGAGTTTCTACTGGGTCACTAATGTAGTTTCTGCTTTAACATGATGACTATTGTGATATTATAATTAGGCACCCTGTTCCTTGCTGAGAGGTACAAGGGCCTGGCTCTGGGAATGGAGTCTCCTGACACTGGACTCCTCTTTTAGGTTAAATCCTTGAGATTTAAGGACAGACCTTTCAGGAATCTATAATAATGTCTGTGGGCCATAGGAGAACCCCTTTGTTGAGCCCAATTTCATCTTTCACTAAAACATTTCTTCTGGAAGTCATCCCATCTTGATATGACAGACATCAGCTCATGACTAGTTTTTTTTTCACTGAAAGTTTTCACCAGGGATCAATAATCTTCAGCACTAATAGTCAAGGCTTACATGACTTGAATGTGTTTGGTTTCTACTTCCAACTGTAGATTTTTGAGTTGTCTTTCTTTCCACAGACATTTGGTCCTGGGTATTTTTTGTTTGTTAATTTATTTATACATTGTTACTGGATCACCTCACATCAGAAATAAACACGGACACCCTTTGCTGCACGCTTCCATGAAGGGCAGGGGGATAACTTTCCTTTTCTGTTACCTTTCATAAGTGCTTTGCACATACAAACAACCATTAGCTTAGGCCTTCATGCTGTACCATCAAACTGGGAACTGAAGTCAAGTCATATGTCCACTATGGGTGACACACTATTTGCTGATGGAACCATGAAAGGCATAAACATAACTGACTTAAGTGGCTGAATTGGGGTTTTATGTTTTATTCCTATGCATCAATTCTATGCCCAGGATCATCCAAATGCCACAATAAAATCCCCTAGCGGACTTACATATAACTCCTGTAGACTGTTGCAAATAGTATCATGTCTGGGTATTGCATGACAAATAGTCATGGAACATCTGAAATTAAACTTTAAAGGGGCTAAGGAAGTTGGTGGCAGCAGAACCCTGCAAAAGAGACATACATTTGCCCTATTTGTTATTTGCAATCTGGGAAGTCCCCACCATGCAAGAGACTCAAAAGCAATTCTGATATAATAAAAGGCTTAGTCTGTCCATCTGTCTGTCTGTCCATAATGCTTTTTCCCAACTGCACATACTGCTTGGCTGTGCAGGCCAGGCAGCTGGGGGTGGGGCCAGCTGAGCTAAAGCGGGAGCCCCGCTCCCAGCACTGCCTCCTCCTGAGGTCTCCCAGTGCAGTGGCTTACTCCACCCCACTTGCACATGAAGCAAAAAAATAAATTGGTGTGAGCACTTTACAAGCAGTACAGACAGCTGAGGAAAGATGGGAGCCCCTATATGGGGCTTACCTCCTTCTGCAGCCTCCAGTGTGGTGGCTCCCTGTACCCCACTTCCACAAAAAAAAAAAAAAATGGGTGGAGCACTTTAAAAGCGGTGGGGCCAGCTGAGAAAAATCAGGAGCCCCTCCGTCATAGTGGGGTTGGACCCAAAGAGGGGGAGGGGGAGCAGAGTTGGATCATGTGGGGGGAGGGG